TTTTTAACATTTATTTATTGTTGAGAGACAGAGAGAGACAGAGCATGAGCAGGGAGAGGGGCAGAGAGAGAGGGAGACACAGAATTCGAAGCGGGGCTCCAGGCTCCGAGCTGTCAGCACAGAGCCCGACACAGGGCTCGAACCCACGAACAGCAAGATCATGACCTGAGCCGAAGTCGGACGCTTAACCGACTGAGACACCCAGGCGCCCCAAGCACATCTTCACCTAAACCCTGGTGGCATTTGAAATGCCCAAATCCAGAGTGCACACGCAGAGGGAGCCTGGGCAGGGGTGTTAGGAGTCGTGTTCTTTGACGAAACGGTGGTGCTCGGGTCTGTGGAGGTCCACAGGTTTGGATGGGCGCCTGTGCCCCAACAGCCAGCACAGCCCAGCGCCTAACACCTTTGAAGGAGGACTTTGGCCACAGCCATTCTTGCCTCGGTCTGTACTTTCTGATTATGCCCTCGCTTCCAGCTCATCTTTTAACTCAGGCGAAGCGCCCCCTGGTGGGAGCCCCAACTCCCCCCTCAGGCAACACGCACCGCCCGGAGCCGGGGAGACCCCGCGTGATTGACCCCAAGACAGTGGTGGACCTGACCTTCGCTGCCCACCTGCATGGACCTACCGCCTTTGCCCCCCTTTTCCTGACCCCAAACCCAAGTATTTCCTGTACTTTGGGGACAGTCTTTGAAACATCCACCGTCTTCCCCTGTGTCCCCCCCCCCCCCCCCCCCCCCCCCCCCCCCCCCCCCACCCCGCCACGCCAGAGGGATGCTGTGACCTGGCCTGGGAAAAGGCTGGCTGATCCCACCTTCCACTGGAGGTGAACTTTACGTACAGGCTGCCTGATCCGGGTTGAACTGTGTTTGTGTTCTCCCCCCAATTCACATGTCACAGTCCTAACCCCCGGTACCTGAAAATGTGACCTTATTTAGAAACAGGGCGTTTTGCAGATGTAATCAAGTTAAAATGAAGTCGTCAGGGTGGGCCCTAAATCCAGCATGGCTGGTGTCCTTAGGAAGAGAGGAAGACGAGACGGGGAGATGACGGCCACACGCAAGCCGCGGCCAGAGGCATGGAACAGACGCTCCTTCACAGCCCCCGGAAGGAGCCAGCCCTGGGGACACCTTGATCTTGGGCCTCTCGCCTCCAGAGCCGGAAGAGAATCACTTTTGTCTGGTGAAGCCGCCTGGTCTGTGGCTCCCGGTTACGGCCGCACCCACTACCTGCGTCCGAGTTCCAGCTTCGCTTGGGCATGCCACCTGATAGCCATCAAGCTTGCCCCTCATGGTCCAAGGTGACCGGCATTGGTCCCGAAGAAGCTGACCATCCCGAAAGCACAGGCTGGCTGGGCTCACCTGACATCGCGTGTCCCAGATTTTCCGAGGCCTTTCCAGTTTCAAATGTTCCGTCACCAGAGACGGTGAATACGGATTTTAGTCCCAGAAAAAGTCACCGCTGTCCCCAGGTTTCCCCGGCCAGAGTGCTGTCTCTGATGTTGGCGACAAGGGATGTCGGTCTCCAGAGACTTAACCACTGTTACAGACACACTTGTATCCGCCCCCCTTCCATATTCCTATGTTGAAGCCCTACCCCTTCAAAGTCATGGCTTTTGGATTGGGGCCCCTGAGAGGTAATTAAAGTTAAACAGGATTGCAGGGGTCATAAGAGGCGGGGCCTGATCTGATAGGATTAGGATCCTTATGATGAAATTTGGAAGTTTTGGGTTTGCGAGCAAACGGCTAAGAAAATTCTCGAGACGTTTTTGGTGCAAAAAGGTGATTTTATTGCAGCACCGGGACAGGGCCCGTGGGCAGAGAGAGCTGCATTGGGCTTGTGAGGAGAGACTGATGATATACTTATAAGTTAGTGGGGGGTTAGGGATGGCATAAGTCTCTAAGGAATTTGGAAGCAAGGCTTTCAGGACCTTGAGGGGCTCATTACTGTTAAGATAAAGTTATTTTTAATCTTTATTTTTCCTAATTTTGTTTAATGTTTATTTATTTTTGAGAAAGAGAGAGAGAGAGCGAGAGAGCACCAGCAGGGGAGAGACAGAGAGAGAGGGAGACAGAGAATCCAAAGCAGGCTCCCCGCTGTCCGTGCAAAGCCCAGCACAGGGCTTGAGCCCACAAACTGTGAGATCGTGACCTGGGCTGAAGTCGGACGCTCAACCGCTCAACTGCTCAACTGACTGAGCCCCCCCAGGCGCTCTTGTGTTGAGTCTTGAATAAAACATAAACATAAAGGCTCTAAGGCAGCCATGAGTTGCTTGAGGAAGGTCACACTCTGCGTGTTTCAGGTGTCTATCAGCGGGCTGTGAGCTGTCAGGAGATTTAATTTAAGTGACATTTCTCTTGCTTTGTTTCCCTCATCACATAGAAGAAGGAACAGCAGAGAGCCGGCTCTCTGTGCCTGAAGCGCGGAGGACAGGAACGAGAGCACGCGCTGAGCCGGGGGGCTCACGTGGGGACCTGCATCAGAGCAAGTCCAAGTGGAATCTTCGACTTTGAGCGTCCAGAACCGTGAGAAAATAAAGGTGGGTGGTTTAAGCCGCCCAGCCTGTGGTGTTTTGTGGCGGCCTGAGCGGGCATCCTTTTTTTTTGCCTTACAAATCATGTATTTCTTCAAGGCCCTGCCACTATTTTTAGAATACACCGCCTTGAAGACTGTAACTGCGGGCCAGGAAGGCGCACACGAGGTGTGTCTGTCCCAACGCCAGCTTTATTCGGTCATAAAGCGAAGTTAGTCATACTTATAAAGCAGGTTCAGGATTCCAGACTCAGTGATATTTTACCACGTGGTCAGATGTGTCTTCTTACGCGGCAGACAGAGCAGAACCGAGGACAGGCCACACAACACACAAGATAACAGAGTGGTTAGGAAGTTAACGAACGAACTCGAAGTCAGTCT